TGACCTTAATGATACTTGGCTTCTGTCAGTCCCCCAGACACCATGTAAAAAAGTAGCCATCAAGTACACATTTACATTTATGGCCTTCTGAGCTTCATTTAGCATCTCCATGACCTCGTGCTATGGGGGAACCAAAATTATCCACTTTCTTTTAAGGATGTCTTTACTCATATTTCTCTGTAAATTACTTATTCTGCTGTTTTCCAGACTTTACAACAGTCTAAGAAATTATTCACATCTGACTTAACCTTACCATGAAAACTTCACATATAATACTGGGGCTGGAGAATTAAGAAAGAAGGACAGAAACCCTGAGGCCACTTTACGAGACTGCACCTCACTGAATCTATCAGATTCATTGCTCAATTAATCTGGTACCCTTCTTGCAATCCCTGGAACAACTGTGCTGAAGTCCTTCAATGAAAGCCGTTATCACAAGGATTTTACACTGAAACATACTCACTCACACCCAAACAAAAATTCTTATACACTCAGTTAACTATCGCAGTGGCCAAGCAGACTACGCAAAGGAAGCTATGAGGTTTGTCAGAGCCCTTCAGCATGACAGAACAGCCACGAAGGAGGTTTCAGGAAGACATTCTCACTTTGGCCATCCCTACGGAGCTCGCGTTCAGTTCAGGGATGCCCTGGTTTGTCTTATCACCACGTTCCCAAATTCCATAATCCTGCAACAACATCATGAAGAAAAAATTGTCATGATTGTATACAAAAACAATGTTTTCCCCCCTTACCCCTCAACAAAACCAGACCCCTGCATGAAATTAGTTTATTTGCCTCAAAAAAGAAAAAGGCTCCAAGTCTCCAAAGAGCTGTTTGAAGAGCAGCACATACAAATACACCCCAGCACGACCAGATCTATAGTCATGAATCACTATCTTCACAGAACACCGAACGCCCTTTATGCTTCCCCCTGTGTCCCTGCAACTCGCCACTTTCCAAACTGTTTCTTAACACTTTGCTCTTTTTAGAAAGGCCCGTAAGATTTTAATGAGACATCAGGAAATATTATTAATTATCAATAAAAAAACCCTATTACCATGACAGAGCAAGTATACCTCATCCAGGCAGCAGTAAATCCTCCATGGCCCTCCCACCATCTCCAAAGATGCTGCTCACAACGTAAAGAACTGACAGGTTCTGTTATCTTCTCATGGAAAAAGAAGTCCTTATTTTCCTTCTCCACCAATAAATAATTTTCCACCCACATCTGAGCAGTGTTCAGGCGATTTACATCTAAACAACTACTTACAGCAACTTTGTAGGCAGCTTCTATGTAAAAAACAAGATTCTGAATAAAGGTAACTTCATCAAGGGTGAAGATAATACGTAACCCTGATGGAAAGAAGGAATGGAGTAAGTAGACTGTATCAGAACTGAAGTATTTACCCTTCAGTGAGTTTCATGCTTTTGTTTATTTGCTACCAACTACTGCCCACTGAAGTCAATGGAAAAACTCATGCTGATTCAAAAAGATCAAGCAGCCAGCCTCAATGCTTGCTGATGATAACATAACACTTTGCACCCACTGTGTCAAATGCCACCAATACATACTGTTTCAAAGACCAAACAAAAACCAGCCCTGGGAAGGTGGCATTCAGACACAGTGGGTGCAAAGCAGAGACCTCTGAGCCAGCTCTGGCTCTTGAGAGCAGTGCATCCCAACTCCCGCAGCTCCCCACCCCTCTGCCCACTTAGTGCTCTATCAAGGGACCACCAGGCAGCTGCTCTGCAGGGTTCACTTGCAAGGGGCTCTGAGGACAGAAAAACATGTAAGGAAACAAAGCCTTATCCTCGCAGGAGCAGTACAGTTGAGAAAAGCACAAAATAACAGAGCGCCAGCAAGAAGAGGAACACAGACGGCACTAGTGGCACCTGACTCAATGTCGCCACTCACTGAAGAAACCTGGTTGTCCATTAGGACACCAAACGAACTCTTCAAACACAAAACTCTTCTGTGACATGACTCTGAATATCTCATATATTTGTATGCCAATAAACATTAAGGGAATGCCAGTTGCTATAAACACAAAATCCTAACTCACATTTCTTCTCCAGAGAAATATTACTTTCTTCTGTGTAATAATTATGCAAAGGTCTTTGAAGCTAGTTACAATTTTTTTTTCCCTTTTTAAATGAAAGCTAGAATAGAAAAAGAGTGCAACAATACTCAAGGCTAAAATATCTTCTGTTTACCTGATGCAGTCATCTGTGCCAAGAAGAGCAGGTAAAGGGAAGTTGCATCCACTTGTAGATGCCCCCACTGGTCATCCCCAACCACCGTCGCACAAGTTGCAGAGTTATACTTGGCATGTAGGCAGTCTTTGGTACTCTGTGTGCGTTTGAACTTCTCTACCTTTTCTACCTAAAAAACACCACAAATCTCAAATCTGAAACATTTCGGAAGAAATTCTCCAAACTATTTCAGAATGAACAACTTTCCTTAGGTGAGGAGAAACTTGAGGTCTTAATTCCTGTTACCTCGCTTTACTTAATACCTTCTTTACTTAATACACTTAATACCTGTTATCTCAGTGTGTTTTGATTGATCAGAGTGCTTAAACACAACTCTTACCTCAATCTCCAGCTAAATCCACATCTCTTTGGGAAAGAATAAGATTAAATTACCTTGTTGAGTTCAGATCTTAGTTACAGGTATGCATCTTGGCGAAAATCAGTTTGCAAAGGCAAAACTGTGATTTGCTACAAGTACAATCTCAAAAAGGTGTGAGTAAGAGCAGAGGTTTGCTCAAGAGTTTTACAAAGACCCCCCACATGACCATCTACTCACATGCAAAAAAAAAATCACTCTACAGAAAAGACACAAGAAATACATGCTTGTATTTAATACATTTGTATTTAATACACTACAACACGTACTAATTCAACTCATACCTACAACATTACCTGTCTCATCATGCACTGTAAGAGTCCCCGCATCAGCTTCACAACGTTCTGCAGGAACAAAACAGACCCGTGACACCCTCACATGGCCAGCCTCATCGGCTGTTACAAACAACATTCAAAAGAGAAAAAGTTCACGCCGCCTACTAACGTCCTGACAAACGTAAAAAACATGCATATGTGCCTGAAATGCTTTACATGCCTCTTTTGAATATACTGGTTGATTTTTATTCTCACATCCCTATACAGGAGAGCAAGTCTTTTCCCAAACGCCTTCTCTAACCAGTGGAACAACTCTCTGTGGTCCTTTTATCCAGCTAAGGAAGTAAGAGGAATGCTATGTCTTGTAAGAATAATAATGATGATGATGATGACTTCTAGAGTGACAGATCCAGAAAACACTGGTAAGTGACTGCAAGACGTTGACATGATTGGAAAACCTGTGGAGCTGCTTTTGCTCTTTACTCCGTACAACACAAAGCAGATGACTAAGAAAGGGCCTTTAGTGCATACAAAGAAAAGTGCGAGATTTTGCCTTAAATTAAGAAATCAACCACATCTTTTTATCCCCAAATTATTATATCCTCAAAATATGATCATGCAAACTGAGTCAAGGTTATTCTGTCACCACAGATCTCCCTGATTTGAGCAGTACACATCAGCATAAAATTTACTCCATGCCTTCAAAACAACAGCAGGACACCAACACCAACACTCCCTCGCTTCCCATTCAAGCCACCTCTACACTCTCATTTCTGATATCCACTTCCCCAGCTGCAGATTATAGAAATTAATTGTGAGAGTTACCTCCCCTTCCAATTCTCCAGCACGAGTCTTATCCGTTTGGAGATTGTTACCTTGTCTGGTTTGAACAAACACGTCTATACACCGTGTACGACTTCCATGAGATGACAGAAGCGCACATTTCAAAGATTGGTACTTTAATTGGCGTGCTTCTCCTTACGGAAGGAATGGTCTAGCAGAAAAATTGCTACCCTGGGATCCCAGGGACCTAGGCTTGATTTTCTCCTCCATAATATACCTCATGAGGGATCTCAAGGTTTAATCAGAGGCTTGTAAATCTGGGCGTAAAATCTCTCAGAAGTCTCATTTTCAATGATTGGCCAACTGATGAAAGTTTGACTCCTACATGTTTTTGTCTTGCTTATATTTTAATTCAGATGTTGGCCTCTCTGCCACCCGGTTCTCCAAATCCTGCTTGCCGGAAGGCTGCCAGGAACGCTGCACACCACACACTGCCTGGATGCCGCCGTCACAGGAACAAGGCACGTGTTCTTGTTCTAGACGCAGCAGCAATGCGAATGCACCATTCAAAACCACGACCGTCTGACAAAAACAAACAGCATAACTGGTTTATGCTGAACTTTGACATACCTGCTCGAGCTCGTAGGCTTTGGCCTTATCTTCATCCCGGTCCGCATTCTTCCGATAAGCCATCCCCAGCCCCCACACAGCCAGGATGCTGTAGATGTTGTCCCGTACCCAAGCATCTTTATGGTCAGTACCGGCTGAAAGCAGCCCCGTAACTGGGTTCTAACCGCAGCAGAAAGAAATAAAGAACAAACATTACTACCTGAAATTCCATCTATTAAGAAGCACCAGTTCTTTCTGTATCAAAGGGTAACAAAACAAAAGGGAGAGACAAAGATGATCTCACACTGATCGCACACTGTGGCTGCTCACAATTTCGCAACAGAAGTGAGGTCCCATCTTTCTTTCCCAAACTCACACAAGTGAAATATGAAATTTATTTGAACATGTCAGGATGTAAAGCTTATAGCGTCCAGCTGGGCATCCTCATCCACATAGGATTATTAGCTCAGTCACTGAGTGAAATTTGAAATACGCTGAGGGAATGCAAATTTAAATTTTACACATTTGTACGGAAAAGAGGGCACCGAGTTAACATTAGAAATTGAATCTGGCATCTATTCTTCTCTGTGCAACTGATCTATGGCATAATATCGAGGAAGTAAAAAACCCATTACTTCCCTTCTAGGAAATTAAAAAAGTATTTCTATTTATTTACCTGCTTGGTTTATGACAGCTAAAGCACGAATGCATGCAAAGTCTTTTTATATCCTCCTTTGGAAAATATACAGAAAGACAAATTCTGATGGTGTTGAAAACCAGCACTGTCTGAAAACCAGCACACTGAGTATTCTCCTGCATCCCAACTACGCCATTAATTGCATCATTAATTCCCATGACTTCACTATCATTAATTTTTAAGACCATCTTTCTCAGCTGTATGTTCTTCACAAACAAAAAAATGAGGTAGTGAGGCAGAAGGTTGATAAAGCGCTCAATCAAATCAAGCCTTCACAGAAAATTTCAGTGAACAAAGACCAGCCGCCAGGGCTGGTGTGACAAGGGGCAAAGACTACAGTAATAAAGATAAGTAAAATTAAAAAGAATACATACACCAATCTTTCATTTCTGCCACACACTGGTTCACTCTGCTCCTTCCGTAGTTGTTTTTAAGAGAGAAGTTTTGAGGGGGAGTAGTTTCAATTACAATTTCCTGGGCTTTGCACGTGACAACTGAACACGACACAGCTGACAGCCCGACACACATGACTGGGCACAGTCAGTGCTATTGTTATGGCTTAAATACAGCAACGTCCAGTGGCTGGCTGAGAGTCGAGGCATGTAGTTCTCCTGAAACAGTCCCTCAGCACGGTCTTCACAAACCAAGTAACAACCCAAGGACCAGCTACTCATCTGTTTGTTGGGGAAAATAGCACATATGAACCCAAAGGGCTTCAAAAAAATTCTTTCTAAACCTGGAAAGTCGAACCAAGGAGTAACGGAAGAACAGTGAGCAAGCAAAGAAAAGAGACCCCGCTCCCCGTTCAGCACTGCGCCCGCGTGACAGAAACCAGGATCTCAAAAGGCAGACCGCGGTATTTTCAGAGGGCACTTTGTTTCCCTCCGTCCCTCCCATGCAGCACAAGAAATGTCTATGTACCTGCAGCCTTGGCTTGCCAGAGATCGCCCTGCTGTCTGAGAAACGACCCTTCTGGTTTATTTTTCCCCACCCTCCGTGCTGGGCTGGCTGCCAGTTGCAAAGTAAAAATGCCTCCAGGTACCGAGATGGAAATCCTGGAGAAATGGCCCATGTGAGATTTTAGAAGACCATTCAGTCCCCAGAGAGGGACCTGCCTGCCTTCCAGAGGCCGCATTGAACACATCCAAGGGCAGCTCTCACTATTTCAGTGCCTTTGGCTCCTCTACGAGAAGGTCCCAGCTCTTGGGGCGCACTGGGGCTGGCTCTCATGGACAGACAACACGTTAATGTCTTTCCTCACACACATTCAGAACGTTGGCAGAACACCACAATATATTAACTAACATTTCCAGTGGTTTGGGTGTTTTTTTAGAAAGTGCTTACTCTTAAAAACTACAATTATTTTCTTCTGTTACCTGCTGACACCGTATGAAATGTACAGCCCTTACAAGGTGTTAAAGAACCCAACGAAACACTGACTGTGCTTAACCCCAAAGATGTCAAAGGGATTTTAGCTCAGCTAGTACTTTAAAACATTACGTCCACACAGTGATCGCTAATTGGACTAGCAGATCTCATCCTGCAAATCACACTGGACATACAGATCGACAGAGGAAAGAATTTTACCAGCACCCACGGGCTCTGTGAGCTGAGAGCACCACAACAGAATTGCTGGACTAAGACTTTAAACTGTTGTATCATGTCCAATCTTATTTTTAAGTCTATCTGTTAGTCTGGAGACAAAAAAAACCAAAACACAACACCGGTTCCTACAGGGGACCAGATGCTAAGAAGCGCTTCAGCAATACAGGCACAAAAATAGCGGGGTTCTAACCAGAGCAGCAATACAATTAGGCCCACATTTAGCATCTTGCTGAAAATCTATTTAATTTGCATCTGTCTCATTGATCTGTCAGATGAAAACCGATATAAGCTCCAGCAAAGTTTGCAGATAGATTGTTTGCACGAAACCGGACGTAACACAGTTGTGGTCACCCATAAATGTATGCCAGATGTGCTTTCCTTACATCAGCTCCATATGCTGTTCTCTTATAGTACCCTAGCAATACTTAAAATGTATAGAGACATTAAGTTTTGCTATTTTATGGACAGATCTTAAGATTCACATTTTTTCTTACCTCATTCAAAGTAACAGGTGTAATAAGCAGCTGAGAACAGCTTTCTGGTGATGCTCTTCAGTGCTTGCTACAGCATCAAAGCATCCCTTCGGCCCCTGTCCCCAGGCACACGTGCAATAGCTGGCAGACCCCACACCACAGCAGGCTGGTATAATTGATGCAAGGGCACGAGACAGGAGCCAGCAGTTTGGTCTTAGCTTCCTTGTATAACCTTGAACAGGATTGTACCTATGCATGTACCGTGCATGCTGCGAGGACTCATCAGAAGAATGCAATGCTTGCAAAACAAGAAAAAGTTTGCTACGGATCCAAACCTGCAAGATGCCGCATACGTAAAACTGTCAACCCTAGTGAGGGGTCCAGACCTGTGCTTTGAATGCATGTCTGCCTGGTAGCATGTATATTCTGAATTAAAATTTGCCTCTAAAATAATGTTGATTTTGAGTGACAGGAATGAAAGCGAGATCAATTACTGCTACTGAGAAACCCAACCCCTCCTGTACTAAACACCTTTTCACGAAGCAAAATGTTCCTGAGCGCACTACACGTTCTCCTTGCTGCATCCTTATGAGAGCGAGCTCATTGCTGCCCTCCGTCAGAGCGCGCCAGCTGATGTGCCAAGCCTGCACATCTGGCACGCTTGTGGATGCGAGGCACGAGGTCACAGTCACACATCACCCCCGTGCTGAGTGGCGCCACCTCAGAAGCATCTTAAATGCCTCCTGGCTCTTCTGCCAGGCTGCTCCTGGGCAAAAGATGGCTTAAATTCCCCTCCCTGTCTCCGTCCTGAAAGGCTCCAGGAAGCACCAGCAGCAGTGAAACAGGAGCCCAGCCCAGCCCGCCATGGGCTGTTCTGCTCCCAAGCAAGACAGGGCTGCACGTGGCCCGAAGGCAACCGTCCTAACTTGCCCAAGTAAGCACTGCATCTCTTCACCCACCTGAGCAGGACATTTTCAATCTATTGCAGTGGAAAACAATGAAGAGCATAGATATAGAAAATTAACCTAGAAACCTGCCTTGCCGCATCTCTCTGGGCCCTCTTGTGATATCATTGTCCCTCTGCCTTGCTGCTAGCCTGTGACTTGCTTTCCACACACAGAAGAAAACTTATTTATCTCCCTCCCCCACCCCTGAGCTCTCCCCAGCATTGAGCACTTAGTGGAAAAGGCAGCACTCAGTCATGAACATGCATCCAAGCACTGTAAATAGCAATTACAAAATTCTGGGTCACTGGTACAAACTCCCATATTACCATTAAAGTTATCCTTTTGCTTATTGTTAACTATTAATATCATTAAGGCGCAGCTTTCATGGGGCATGTTTGATCTCTGGATCTCAGAGGCTCCATCTCTCCTCTAATGGAGGCTGTTATCAGCATCCTCATCCAATAAACATGGAAATCAAGGCAGGCACTGGAAGCCAAAGTGACTCGCCCAAGGTCATCCCGCGGATAAACGGCAGACAGAGGAGCACAACTCAAAGCGTCTCCTGCATCCCAGCACAGCGAGCGAGCAAAATTACCTTCTCACACCACTTACACCACTGCATTTGCTTCTGATGAATTTACAATAATTAGTACACAAACATTAATGAACACGTGTCTGGACCCTGCACCCACAAGAACAGTCCGTGACAAAGACCTGACCGACGCCAGCGGATGTGGGGCCTAACCTCTTCTTTCACTGCTTTCCAGTTTCTTGTAACTCTCAGCAAGTAAGTCTATTTGGGAACTGATTTGCACAAAAAAACCCCCACCAAAACCCTCTTGCTCTCACCTTGATGCACTGGCCTGTTTTAACCGCAGCCCGACACCGCAGGGCGCACTGCGAGGCCCCGGGGCCCGCCCGGGCGAAGCCAGCACGTAACGCGGCCAGCACCGAGGCCAAGGCTG